TTAAAAAATCTCTAATTTCTTTGTTTTTTGGCAATAGCCATTCTATTTTATTTTTTTTAATATAAATATTTTTTTATTTCTAATTTTTTATACTCCTTTATTTACTTTCATCAAGTTTTCATTCTTAATACTAATTTGTAATCAATTTAGACTAATTTATTTTTAAATTAAAAGCTAAATTGAACTTTTAAATAATGTGTATTAATATGGATAAACAAAATTCTTTGCTATTAATTATGAAAGTAGAATTATTTATATATTGATAGATATAAGTTTTTAAATTATTATATTAATTATTTTTAAAAAAATAATAAACAAATAAGTAGCTAATAGGTAGTAGGTATCTTTGTCTAACACTTCTTTGTGTATGAAATTAGTATGTCTTGATTTGACATATTAACTTTCTTACTTCCAATTCTTTAAGTGAATTTTGAACTTATATCATGTTGAAGAACTCTTAAAATAAAGAACTATAAGTATATTATTTTAAAAAAAAAAATAATAATAATAATAATTAATTCATATGTAAAGACATGATTTTTGATCATGAAGTTAATGGAAATGCTCTACTAACTCACAAATCTATATCCATAGATGAAAACTATATTGACAACTCAAGAACTATTATTTGCATAAAAATTCTTATAAACTATCAAATTTTAATGCAAATAAGTATTAAATTATATTTTGATTATTAAAATGAGAAATAAAAATATCGTCTTTATTTATTTCTTAAGAAGATATCTACCTTCAAGTTGCTTAAAATTCATTGTATATATGTAATATTAAATTCCATATATAATGCTTAATAATTTAGCAACTTTGATCTTTATTTATATAATATCACTAATATTTATGAGCCTTAAATGGCAATGTAGAAGATCAATTTTTATTTTATTTCTTACAAATATAAATTTAAAATATTAAACCAATCATTTTAATAGTCTCTTACATAATCTCATATAAATTCTTTATGCTTTTGAAAACTTCCAAATAATATCAAATAATGCAATTCTTAGATCAAATCAAGAAGGTTTATTATAATTTGGTTCCTATCTATTTTGTAAAAATATATTGCAACATAATATAATGGAGAATCACATAAATTAAACATAAATATTTAAAAAATATTAATTAAAAATATAAGTCAAAATCAAATCTTGAGATACAAAACCTTACAATTACTACAATTTTAAGATTCTTTTGTTAATTAAAAAGTAATATTAAAAAATACTATAAAATAGATATTAGTTTATTTTTATAAGATATTGATAAAATAGACTAATAGTCTATTGAACAGTTAGTTCAATAAGACAAATGGTTAATTTATTTATTAAAAGCGATTATTATAGGATTACAATTAGAATCTGGAAATCAATAGCAATTATATAGGAGTTGTAGAAGTTTGTTGAGGTGCTAGACTGTGATAGTCATGAACTGGGATAAGCTCGGTGCTACCTCTTTGTTTTCTTTATTTCTTTGTTGTTGAAGAATAATGAATAGTTTCTGAATACTAAGAAGTGAGTTTGTGGAATAGATTAAAAATTGATTTATGAGTTATTGATTATGTAACTGGAGTATTATGTGATTGAATTATATGAGAAGTTATTGGAAGATTGATTATAGATGGAAGATTATGATTATTGTTTATTGAGAGTTGTATGTGTATTTTGGACTAAGAAAATTTGTGATTACAAAAATTATATGAATTTAGATTGGTTGGAGTAAAGTCTGTTTTTTTTGTGTTGGATGGAATTTTTTGAATTTAGAACAGTCTTTTGAGAATGTAGGATTGCACATTGTGGTTATTAGTTGATGAAGGAGTATTTTTACTAGAAGGAAGCATTGTAGTATTTCTTGGTGTTTTAGTGGTTTGGATTACAGTTAATTGAGTGACGGTAACTTGTAAGCTCATGTACTTAGTATTTCCTTGAGTTCAGATTCCTCTATTCATGTTTATTCTGAAAAGAATTTGTAAAATAAGTAAAACAACAATAATAAATATACTTTAAGAAGTTTGTTTAAGGATTTTTTGTGTACAATTTTGATTATTATTGAATTTGTATGAACTATACAAAGTCAAAGATGTTTTAGATGATTTGGGATTTTGAAAAATAAAAAATATATATATATATATATATATATATATATTTTAATTATTAATAAGATTTTTTTATCTTAAATAATTTTTTAATTATATTAAAATAATTTATTTTTAAGAAAATAGTATATTAAGTTAGCAACATTTCTATCAATTTTGAGAAAAAGTTAATAGTTTAAAAAGAACTATTTTTGCTAAAAAATTAACATTAAAGGTAGAAAAAGAAATCAATTTACATAAAAAAAAATTAAAATTTTTTTATCTAATTGATAAATTTGATTTTATATATAAAAAAATTATGTATTTATTATTACATTATTGATTGAAATGTGTAAAATCTTTGAAGCAAGATCAATGGTTTAATTAAAAATTATTGAAGCTTGAAACTACTAAAAGGATTAATTAATGTTCGTTAGGGTTCAATTAAGGCTTTGTTAGGATTTTTAATATTTGTAGGATTTGTTTGTGATTTTATTAGAGTTTTTTTACGATTTTAATAAGATTTATACAAGATTTTATAATAATTTTCTTTATGATTTTTTTAAAATTTTTTAAAAAAGAATTTTATAAAGATTATTTACAATTTCTTTAGAGTTTTTCATGATTTATTTATGATTCTTTTTAAGATTTTTAGAAAATTTCTTTGAAATTTAATTAATATTTAATTAAGATTATAAAGGCTTAATTAGAATTTATTTAAGATTTTATTAAGATTATTAGGTTCTTTATTATTTATGAAAATTAAGTTTATCTATTATAGCTAAGTACATAATACCACATTAGAGATACCTATATAATCTTGAACTCTTAAACTTCTAAACTCTAAACTATAAATAAAAAAATAAAAAAAACCATAATCATTCATGTAATCCTAAATTGAAAACCTTCAACCTTAATTTTAATAACTACATATAAATTATTATTTTCAAGAAAAATATACTAAAGAATCTATAATAATTATATTTAGTACTTACTTAGACTCCAATACATTGACTTTTTCTTCATAAATTTATCTAAATTTATAAAATATTTTAAATCATAATAAAAGCTTTGATCATTAAATAAAATTCATAATCTTAGTATATTTATATTTAGATAGTATTAAAAGTTTGCTTTTAACAATTTCACCAATTAAGATGTATAAGTAGAATTTACAATATATTAAGTAAAAATTCAACAATAAAGATATAAAAAAATTAATCACATCCACATAATTCTTATATTATTGTATAATATATATATCTTTTCAAGACTAGATTATATATTCTCACTAACTTATTATAGAATTATTTATTAATTATTAATCAATTTTAAAATATATATTTTTAAAAATTGATTGACTATTTCTTTTGATGATGATGTCAAGCTTGAGCACCCTCCTATATCAAAGGTAGTCAAAGATGTGAGGTTGCCCAACTCATTTGGCAATGATGTCAAGTTTGAGCAATCACTTATATCAAAGGTAGTCAAAGATGTGAGGTTGCCCAATTCATTTGGCAATGATCTCAAGCTTGAGCATTTACTTATATTCAAGGTAGTCAAAGATGTGAGGTTGCCCAATTCATTTGGCAATGATGTCAAGCTTGAGCACCCTCCTATATCAAAGGTAGTCAAAGATGTGAGGTTACCCAATTCATTTGGCAATGATGTCAAGCTTGAGCACCACCTGATATCAAACATAGTCAAAGATGTGAGGTTGCCCAATTCATTTGGCAATGATGTCAAGCTTGAGCAATTACTTATATTCAAGATAGTCAAAGATGTGACGTTGCCCAATTCATTTGGCAATGATATCAAGCTTGAGTAATTACTTATATTCAAGATAGTCAAAGATGTGAGGTTGCCCAATTCATTTGGCAATGATGTCAAGCTTGAGCAATCACTTATATTCAATGTAGTCAAAGATGTGAGGTTGCCCAATTCATTTGGCAATGATGTCAAGTTTGAGCACCTTCTTATATTCAAGGAAGTCAAAGATATGAGGTTGCCCAATTCATTTGGCAATGATGTCAAGCTTGAGCACCAACTGATACCAAAGGTAGTCAAAGATGTGAGGTTGCCCAATTCATTTGGCAATGATATCAAGCTTGAGCAATTACTTATATTCAAGGTAGTCAAAGATGTGAGGTTGTCCAATTCATTTGACAATAATGTATAATTTTCTATCCTTAAATTAGTCAAAGATGTAATATTATTTAATTCATTTGACATTGATGTCAAATGGTTGCAATTACTTATATTCAAAGTTGTCAAAGATGTACAATTGCCGAATTCATTTGACAATGATGTCAAGCTTGAATATTTGTTTGTTCTTAAGGTAGTCAAATTTGTGAGATCGTATAATTCTTTTGGTAATGATTTCAAGCTTTTGTAATCATTTATATTAACAATAGTCAAAGATGTGGGATTTTCTAATTTATTTGGCAATGTTGTCAAGCTTGAACATTCTCTTGTATCAAAGGTAGTCAAAGATGTGAGGTTACCCAATTCATTTGGCAATGATGTCAAGCTTGAGCACCTTCTTATATTCAAGGTAGTCAAAGATATGAGGTTGCCCAACTCATTTGGCAATGATGTCAAGTTTGAGCAATCACTTATATCAAAGGTAGTCAAAGATGTGAGGTTGCCCAATTCATTTGGCAATGATCTCAAGCTTGAGCATTTACTTATATTCAAGGTAGTCAAAGATGTGAGGTTGCCCAATTCATTTGGCAATGATGTCAAGCTTGAGCACCCTCCTATATCAAACGTAGTCAAAGATGTGAGGTTGCCCAATTCATTTGGCAATGATGTCAAGCTTGAGCACCAATTGATATCGAAGGTAGTCAAAGATGTGAGGTTGCCCAATTCATTTGGCAATGATGTCAAAAGCTTGAGCACCCTCCTATATCAAAGGTAGTCAAAGATGTGAGGTTGCCCAATTCATTTGGCAATGATGTCAAGCTTGAGCAATCACTTATATTCAAGGTAGTCAAAGATGTGAGGTTGCCCAATTCATTTGGCAATGATGTCAAGCTTGAGCACCCTTCTACATTAAGGTTTTTCAAAGCATGAAGACTTCTTATTGATGTTGGTAATAACCTTAAACTTCTATAATATTTTAAATTAAGTATCTTCAAAGAAGTCGTATACTCTATTTCATTTGGTAGCATGATTAAGTTTGAGCATCCTTCTAAGTCAAGTTCCAATAATGTAGAAATTTTAAAAAATGAATTTGGAAATTTCTCTACAAAAGAATAATTTCTTAATTGAAAGACATTTAAACTTTCAAGTTTAGTTCAAATCTCTTTGTCATATGTAATTTGTAATGCTTGATGTACTAATTCTTCATTTAATTCGTATTCCCCTGACATATCTAGTAAAAAATATTTTAAACTAAGAGAATACTTTATCAATACAAAGAAAATGCTCAATATCTTTACAACAATTTTGGAAGTAGAAACACCAACATTATAACTCAAAAATCGAAGTGATGAAAAAGAAGCACTTCTTATTTTATTTATATTATTATTTTTTATATTATTGTAAAATAATCCTTCTAACTGTAAATCAACACAATCAAATATATATTTAAATTAGAATTTCTACATAAGTAATGCACTCAATGTATATACAAATCTAATTACAATACAAGATTGATTTTTCTTATATTACAACTTTATATCAACATATATCTCAAAAACACAATAAACATTATATAATACATATAACTAAATAAAAAATTTAACCTTTACATAATATTTCTTACATATTATCATTAGTTTTTTACATGCCATTTAGTTAATAGTTAAGTAAAATTACCTTGTTTGCTGATCTATGAAATGGATCTACATTTAAATTCCATATTCTTGTGTATTTATACTCCATCTTCTTTTCAACAATACTTTTACCCATGTCTTGTAGTTGATCATGAACTCTTATAATTCCATCTTTGTCTACTTTAACCAATGATTGGTTAATCAATGTATCTAACATAAGTTCTACATCTTGTTCAAAGATGTTTTTTTGACTATTGGTCCATATTCGCAATGCTCTTTCTTTTGACATGCCTTGTGGACACATGTCACTACAAAAAAAACAACATATGTCCAAAAACATATTCTTTTCTTTAACTTTCAAATTCTCAAAGCTCACTCTTAATATCTTCCAAATCTTGTAGTTACTATTGTCTTCATCTCCATCCAACTCTCTTCCCTTTTTTAACTTTTGTAAAGCTCGCTCCCAACATCTTAATCTCTTATTCTCTTTTAAAAATGCTCCCATAACTTTCAAACTCAATGGTAGGCCATTGCAAGCTCTTACAATTTTTTTGGCAATCTCGTTAAGTTCATTGGGGAGATTTTCTTGGCCACAAGAATATGTAATAAACAACTTCATACTTGCTCCTTCATCAAGTTCTTCAACATTCATTTTATAAACTTCTTTACCACAATGCTTCATTGCTTTTGAATCTCGAGTTGTTGCAATCAATGTACTACCATTGTTAGCAAATATGTCATCCATAGGCACAACATCTTCAATTTGATTTTGATTCTTCACATCATCAAAGACCAAGATAGTTTTGTTCTCTTCTAAGAATGATTTCAACATTTTTTGAGCTTCTTTTATATCCTTTGGTTTTGATTTGACTTTAAATTGTTCCAAAATATTGCAAGAAGTTGTATAGCAATCACCACCACTTTCAATGCACTCAACAAAGCATGAGGCATTATACATGTCTTTTACACTAGTTAATATAGCCTTAGCTATTGTGGTCTTGCCTATTCCGCCCATTCCAACAAGATACAATGCCTTCACTTCATTTGCACATAGTTGTTTTATTTGTAATAAATATTGTGCTCTACCAACAATTTCTTCCTCAAATATATCAACCTGAAATTAAAAAATTCATACAAAAATCAATAATAAAATCAAAATGAAGCATATACTACATATCAGCCTAGTCTTACTAACTTGAGTTTGTAGTAAGATATGTAAACATTATTATGGCATAGAAGACTGTACAAGTTTAAAATACTATCAATATAATCAATTCTATACATAATCTCTATAATTATTTGTACAAGTCTTACCAATGGCAATCCAATATGTATTTGTTGAAATTCTATATTTTGATGATAGTTGTTTTTTGATGCTCCAAACTTTGGAGCATCTGCTACACCAATTCCAGCTAAATACTTTTTCTTTAATAACTCCAATCTTTCACAAATATTTGCAAACTTTGGTCGATGCAAAGAATTCAACCTCCAACATTCTTGGATAAGCTCAATCAAGTCATCACAATTTGAAGGTAAGTTTGGTCTTTCACCTTTTTTAATTCATTCTAATATCTCTTTCATCTCACAAATATCATGAAATGGATCTTTTTTTGAAAGAATCTTAGAACATATCATTGCAAATGAATAAACATCAACTTCAAAATGACATATTTCTATTTTTTGAAATTTATTTCTCAATACCTCTGGAGCCATATATTTGAGACTACCATAAATATAATTATTCTTTGTGGCTTTTGGATTTCTTCCAACTTCAATCTTGGACATTCCAAAGTCAATCACTTTTACAATAGCATGTCGAACAATCTTATTCATAATCTTCGTCTCCACAATGTCAACCAAAATATTCTCAGGTTTTAGATCTCGATGTGCAATATGCATGTCATGTAAGTAACACATCCCTTTTGCAATTTGATGCATAATGTCAATAAGAAAAATATAAGATACTTCTTTTTCTTCTTCCAACATATTGCTCAAATTGTTTTGCATCAACTCCATTCCAATATACAAATATTCTTTTTTGTCTTTTGTTACAATAGACTCAATGCTTCCATTGGCACTACCTTTCATTGCAAAATAATATGTTATCAAGTTAGGATGGCTCAAACTTCCTAGAATGCTCACTTCTTTGATGAAAATTTTATCAAGTTTAACATCCATCTTTTTAGTTGCACACACAAGTTCCAACCACTTTGATTCATAAACTTCACCACAATTTCCTTTATTTATGCATTTTGTAATTGTAAGACTCTTCATGTCTGACAAAAATTTCAAATTATCCAACTCTCCACCTTCTATGCAAAGCAAGTCTTCAAATCTTTGTAATAGATGCTTTGCTAATCCATAATATTCAAAATCTTCTTTTCCAATTTCATGAATCAATTTCTTCCATAAAAACTCAACATCCTCTTCCACTTCATCATGTGTTGCAACATTAAAAGTTGCAAAAGTATTCTTTTCAACTTTGTTGGGATAATGGTTCAAAACATCACTTGCTATATCACAACAACATTTTAAATCCAAAAGTAGTTCTCTAAAAGTGTCTTTGTTATTTAATTGGAAGATAGCTTCTTTGCACCAATTTTCTTTTCCACAATTTTCTACTAGAAAATAAGATTTATTTAAAACAAAAAATAACTCACTCAATAAAGGTCCAAATTCCAATCCATCATTAGTGCAAGTCATTAGGTGGTCAAAAACCATCGTAACATGTTCAATTTTCTTAAACAAATTAGCACATTGATTTCTGTTCAACAAGTTATTTTTCTTCAATAAAACCTTGAATGCTTCAACATAGACTTTAGAACCTTTCCAAGTATCTCCACAAATACCTTCCATATTTAAATTTTTTTCATATTGTTCCATTGTTCTTGAAGATCTTTGCATGAAAAGACCATGGAAATAGCTCCAAACCATGAATATATATCGCTTCAATGATTCCAAAAGATATTCCATAATGTATTAATAAAAATAATTTCCAATTTCACCTTCTCGCCACCTATAGCAAATTACACATTAGATTTTCAAAATGTTTAGTATTTCAAAATATTAATCAAACTCTTTTTTTACATTGTCCCACAAACCATACAATCTTCCGTCTTACAAATTGAATCTATAATTCTAAAACTGAACCATCAATCTCAAATAAACCTAAAACCAACACTTCATTTCTTCACATATTTTAATAACCTCACTTCAACCTATAACTTTGATGCAAAAACTACTCATCTCAAATCCAAAAACATCAAATGACCACTGACCACCACCACAATGTCTAGAGATCGCAGTTCCTGCTCCTTGATTACATCAAAAGAGGTTTTCAGTATCCACTCAAACATGGAGAAGCACCACCATGTTCTCAGACATGAAGGTACTCATGCGTGTGATTGTGAGTTTAGTACACGCTACTTCCTATTCGAGACAGGAACAAAAGACCTGAAACCATCAATCGAACCATCAGAAGCTACACAACTCATAACAACTCAGAATTTACTCATGATAGATACTTCACTTAACGCCGGTGTCCGAATTTCTAATCTAAGTAGCAAAGTTCCTGGTAAGCTGATTTGTAAGGGCAATAAGTCCTAAAATGAAAACAGATAGGGACAGAATTATAAACTGAGATCAAAGCTTTGTATGCTGTAGAGAGATGGCAATTTTTTAGGTGGCGCCACTCGAAGCCTCCCAGAACTAGGAGAAACTCTCATTTCATGCCCAACATTTTGAGTTGTGTATCAGCACTCGGACAAACACATACCTCAGTATACCTCAAGCACAGAAAGAAGAAATGCAAAGAAAAGATCACACTTCAGACGTCAGAAAACGGATGTGAATAAATTGAGGCACACTACCAATCTCCTCACAAGCTTAACGTTTTATATATAATGTCACACTTCAATGAGCTCCGAAAGAAACCCCCCCAATTATGGCGCTTCTAGGAAAGAGAATAAGCAACATAACTAGTGGGTCGCTAGCCTCTAAGCCTTGTACAATTCGTTCCTTCATCGCCAAAATGTAAGCGAGCTTTTTCCACGATTTAACATATCAGCAAAATCTGCTTTAATGACTACATTTGGTTGCCACATATATGCGAAAAGTGCGGCCACGCGACCGGGGAAATCAAGACATTTCCACAGAATTCATGCAGACGCGAATTCAAATGACTAGGACAAGAAGAAAAGCATAAACAGCTGCCTTTACTGTAAACACGCCGAACCAAAGCCTGCAAAACTTGCACGGTCGAACTCACCAGAGAAGGGGTTGATAAACCAGCCACTCGCCAAAACAATTCCCTCTTTTCACAGAGCCTTCAATTCCGATTCGATTCTTCCTTCCCTTGGTGTCACTAACAGACAAGAGCTCTAATGTTGTCAACGGAAACACCAACCAAAAATAAATTGAGGGTCTCTGGTGATCTTCTCTTGAACCTTCTGATTATCCCCAGGAGACCTGCGCACTGCTGAGAACACCGTGAACTCTACGTCCAACCCAACAGAGACCCTATTCCGACACACCAATCCTGCAACCCTGAGTTCTAAATCTCTGATCCCTAGCTACTTCCTGAGACAGAACGGTAAAAAAAATCCACTCAACAGAACTGCTGGCGCCGCGACATCCCTCATAGGATCTCAAGGCCAGAATCTGTCCCGACACTCTACGTGTCCGCCTCTCCGTAGACCCGATTGCATCATCTCCATCCCCTTCCCATGCCACTATTTCACCTTCGCCACAAAATCCGGCCGAAAAACCTAATCGCTCAAGAGAATGCAACCCACAAGCACCTGTTCTCTCCCACTCGCGTTCACACTCCAACAACAGCCAACTTGTCTCCACACAATATCATGCCTCAAGGCATCTCCACCGATTGCCTTAATACCCACTTGATGAGTTTTCCCTGCGAGGGGCTCTTTTCACAAATTTGGGCGCCTTCGGCCTAATTACCCCACCGTTGCCCACGCCATGCAAGAAGTCCGGATTTCGAGGAAGCTCATGCTTCGTCCACAAAGCACCACCTGCCACTCTACAAGCCGCTACACACGCTGCCTACCCTGCAAGTACATTGGCAAGGCGGGAGAGACTCCCCCTCGTCATTACGTGTCTCAGAAACCTCACAACTCTATCGCCATCGTGGGCCGTCGGATCGCTGCTACCGCTCAGATGCAATCTCAACCGCTGATCGGATTTCTAGGAAGGGAGGGGGGAACATTGGGGAACCAGGGGAGGGGGGGCAGTTGGAGGGCGGCAGGTTGGGAACTCAAAAGCCATTCCTCATTGGGCCAATTCACATAAATGTGTGTTGCTTGTTGTTTAGGGGTTGCTTCACAACATATCAGTCAGTTTCGAGGGTCTTCGCAGAACGGCAAAATCTGTCGTTTACCTAGCTTCCTCAGAAAACAGTGGTGAGGAATTCCCTCCGCGAATCTATGCTCGCCAGTGTGCGATTCTTGCAAAGAAAGCCTCGGAAACTTTGCTTGTCGTTGACGAGTTTGAGAGCATCATCCGCCAGCAAGAGCGTCTCTTGGGAGGATCCGAACGAAGCAGCACTACTCCTTATTGGAATGTAGCAGCCACAGAGCTTCGCCATGTGCTGAAAGCTGCGGAGTCTCTAACGAGAAATTGCTGCTCTAAAGTAACTACACGTATTTCTGACACTAAAAGAATTATGTTTCTTATTGCCAGAGCAGCTAAAAGAATTATTGTCTGCAATTACAAAGAGAAGCTAATGCAATTGAGCATGCACTATTAGTTTGCAATTCCCTTCCAAGAGGTGGAGTAGATGAGGTAATTCTCCTAGGCCTAGATAAAATCTTTTGAATAAAAAGTTAAATAAATGAATTTAAAAAAAATTGAAATACATCTTTCTTCTTTAAAAACCTTGCATACAAAACAACCCACTCTTTTTGCTATTATTGAGGTATTCACTTTTCAAACCAAATCAATATAGTTTTTATAATACTCGCAAAAAAAAAAGGAATTTTTACCTCAATCTATAGACTTATCCCTCATTCATAAGAATATCACTATAAGAAATTAATAGTTGATATAACAAAACATATTTGAATGTTGTTGTATTATAATTGCTTATAGTATGTAAAAATTAATTAAGACAATAATATGTTCATAAGTCTTGGTGTATGCTAAAATGGTTAATAGATTAATTTAAAGAGAGTGGATATAAAAAATTTTAATTTAAATTTTATCTAGTTTGATTATAGCATTTAAAAAAATTATAGGACCTAAATGTTTAATATGAAGCCTTGATAGGAGATTAAAGCCTAAAGAAAAAAATCTTATCTAATAGGAGGCTTATTGGGAGGGATGAAAGCAAGGAATAGAAATCTTCATTCCTATTGGTCAAAGGCCATGCCCAATGGGCTTCAAGGAGGCTGCCCGAGGCCCTATTAGGGATTAGAGTTTTTTTATTGAAGTAATTTGAGCTTTGGAGACTATGGTCATCAAATTTAGGTTTTTTGAGTATAGATTGGATGTAAATTTTGTATGATTTGGAGTTTTTATGGAGGAGTTATTGACTCTCAAATTTAAGGTGTCAATTTCATACCTACTATCACTCTTTGAGGCATAACATATGTTTACAAAGAGCAATGAAGGATCGGCAATTGAGGTTGGAGAGAGCTTTTCTTGGACTACATTCTTCATATATTGTTTGATGAATTTAAAATTCAAATAAAGAAGTTATAAAGAGTTAAAATCAACACATCCAAATCAAAGGCAGTAATTAAGTGATTTTATTAATAGTAATGATTGGAGCCATATTTTGAGTTTTTAGACAAATTTTTGGCTCAAACTTTTTGGAAAAGCTAGATTATTGTGTCAAAAAGATATACATAAAAATTTTGTGGCATTTGAGTCCTTATTTTGTAAGATATGAAGAAAATTGCATGCAGATGTACAAAAATTAGGATTTGAAGCAGTTGTAAGGATTTTGGTGATATCTTAAGCTCTGTAATAAATTTGTAGTTGAAATTTGTTATGGTAGTTTTTAAAAGTACATCAATACTTCATGTAAAGTTTGAATGTGTTTGAACAGTCCGATTAGAAGATATGAATTTTTGAAGTTTGAAAAAAATATCCCATAAGGATATTTAAGGATTTAAAAGTTTTATCATATTTTGGATATTTTTGGAAACTAAAGACTTATATATTTGGTATAATAGCACCTAAAATTAATATACATATAAATATATATATATATATATATATATATATATATATATATTTTTATATATAAATTTGGTCTTTCTTATCTCAAGACTTAATTGAGCAATTATAGGCAACTAAGAGCCTAGTAGTTTCTTGAGGCAAACTCTCTCTACTCTAACAACGTTGTTTTAATCGGCAAAAGAGCCATGCATAAGCAGAGAAGAGTAGCTAGAGAACTTAAACAAAGAATGTTGTAGATTAAAGAACAAGTTCTCTGGAAGTAACTTGGACAAGGAAAAAATTGCCATCCATAGTTGATGCAGCTATGGTATTACAATCTTAGACCTAATTATAGCTTATGTAAAGGTAAAAGCAAAAAAAATCCTTTCATTGAATTCTATGTGAATGCAATCTAAATTGAATTCTATAGTAGTTTACAAAACATGGCAACGTACTTATATTGAAGTTATCCAAAGCAAATTTTCTTAAAAGAGGTAGAATCTAAGAACTTGATTGGAATAAGATCTTATATTGGCCCTATCTTAGATTCTCTTTCCTTAAGTATTGTTCCCCTCTTGTATTCTATGTTATTTCTTTCTTAATATTATTGTTAAAACAAGACTAGTCTATCTTGAGAGTCTAAGATCATTTTAATCTAGAGCAACATAAAACCTTATTACAAAATGTCAAGGACAAGAACTCGATGAAAAAACAATTCAAAAAAGTGAGCCTTCACTTAAAGAAAGGTAACAAAATATATATAAACAAGTATATATATTGAAAGAGAAATTGGAATGGCTATTGCCAAAAGACAAGAAAATTAGAGACCCTTGAAACTAGACTAGAAGCAAGAAAGGAGTTGACAAGAGTAAAGAAGCCTTCACTCTTGTCTCTATATATATTATCTAACTAAGAGCTACGTGGCGACGTTCTATAGGACCTCCAATATGTGTTGACTTTGTAGGACACATGCCATGACTTACAAGGCAAGTTCTTCTACGTGTGGGCCACATAGTTAGCTTGATCTTCAAGCTAACAACATATGTGGCACATGGCCAACTTGTTGATCACGTTTCTAATCCAAAAAGTCAATTAAAGACACCTATGAAGTCAAAGCAGCATCTATGAAGCTTCTAGGAAGCTTTCATATTAAATACTATAGAATTAACTTACTTTTATATACTTTTACTTACTTCTACTTATTTGTATATATAATTACTAGCTTACATGATTATGTCCGTGACATTACCTCCCCTTCTAGGCACAAGTTCCACGAGGAGTGGTCATCATATGTTGAGAAAATCTATGATGCGGCGAATTATATTTGTCACATACTCTGATCTTTGTTCTCTTCAAAGATGATTGATAGGGCCTCTCAACCATCGGTAGTGTCCCATACCAGGGCAAAAAGACCATCTAGTTATTTGATCATTGTTGAGGCCTTCATAACTTCCTTCGAATAGAATATTTGGAACACCATCAGGAGTTGTTCCTACCTCTAGCACAATCACAAAACATCGAGAGTCCCTTCCCAAATCGTGATACCAAACGCATTGTATCTTGCCATCTATTTGAAGAAGAACATGTCTTTCTTGAAGATCTTCATCTCGATTACGTCGTCTTGAAGGTTGTGACAATTGTAATGTCTCGTCCTGCAGGTCAGCAAATGAAGGCTTTTGAGTCGAATCCATTGGTTTTTGGTTCTCCATCTCCTGAGCATCACTACTACAAAGAAACTACGAACAAGAATTGAAAGTAGAATGTTATCTTGCCTAGATGTTGTTTCTTTTATAAAAAGATTTTCATCTTGATTTTGATGGATGTTGTCGATGAAAATCCTCCAACACCTTTGCTGCATTTGTAAGATTCTTTATTCGCTCCCATGTGCGTTCACTAATACCATATCCGCGCCAATAGACAAGATATTCTAATTTATTTTGGCGCCGCCTTGAATTTAAGACTTCTTCTACTTCAAACTCTTCATTATTGTGCACTTCTATAGGAGGAGGTGGAGCTTGTCATCTTCTTGGTATGTCTATTATCTTGTATGGTTCAAGAAGAGACACGTGGAATACAGGATGGATTTTCATTGACTCCGATAGATGTAAACGATATGCAACTGAATTGATTTGTGTAGAAATAAAAATAGCCTTTGATAGTCCAACTTATCACAAGGACGAGTGGTCTTGATATTGCGACGAAGTAGCCATACCTTATCACCCAAGATGAATGATGGTTGTTTCTTTCGATAGACATCCGCATTGACCTTTTGTTTTTCTTGAGCCTCTTTTAATTGCGCCTTCATGGTTACATATAGCTCTGATAAATGAATTACCAAATCTTTCGCATCAAGATTATCAATTTTTTAAAAGTCAAAAGTATCAAGTCATGGATGATAACCATAATTAGCAAAGAAAGGTGTTTGTTTTGTAGAAGAATGTACCGTGTTATTGTAAGCAAACTCTGCCAATGGCAAAAGAATTGTCCAATCATCTTGTTGGTAATTAATGGTACATCTTAAATATTGCTCCAAAACTTGATTAACATGCTCCGTTTGTCCATCAATTTGAGGATGGAATGCCGAAGATAGTTTTATATCCACTTTAAGAATCTTAAAAAGAGTCCGCCAAAATCTTGATACAAATTGAGTTCCCCTATCTGATATAATATCCTTGGATAATCCATGATAGCGATAGATATTGTCAAAAAAGAGCTTAGCTGTTTCTTCACCTGTGATAGATTTTGTACATGGTACAAAATGTGCCATCTTGGTAAAATGATCTACTATCACGAATATAGAGTCATAAGAACCTGAAATTGGAAGATCCGTGATGAAGTCCATAGAAACAGAAGACCATGGTTGTTCTAGAATGGATAATGGCTGAAGAAGTCCAAAAGGTTGATGACGAGGAG